TCCCTCCCTCCCTCCCTCCCAGGCTCAGTGCAGCCCAGGCATCCAGCCCCACCCTTCCCCGGGAGCCTCCCCTGAAATAACCCCACACTTAAAATAAGCAAGCTCTCGACACAGTCCCTGCCCAGGCCTGGCTGCCACCCCCTGCCCTGGCTCAGGCCAAAGGAGCCAGCAGGCCACAGGCCCACCTCCATTTCAACCCTTGTGCCCAGAGCCCTTTCCAGGGCCACCTCCCTGCCCAGATATGCCATGCCTAACTGCCTTTCACCCTCCATGTCCTCATCCAAAAGGCTAGGCCCTGCCTCCTCCTGGAAGCCCTCCCTGAATGCGTCTGCGGCCACACGTGCACTCACCTACGTAGAAGGTGTTGGGTGCAGGCTTGTCTCCCAGCTCCAGATACAGGAGGTTGGTGGTCTGCGGGTCATGGCGGAGCCACAAGGCTACACCCAGGATCACGCCTCCAGCCAGCTGGGAAAGAGCGGGAACGGTGTCACATGTACCAAGAGGACTGCGCCTGCCCCACACGCGCAGCCTGAGCAGCCTCCTGCCTTGCTGAGCCGCCCGCTGGCTCCCGAGCAGGGACCAGGTGTCAGCTCTGCTGCCCTGGTTTTCACAATGCCCCGAGGAGCCCCGGGAGTCAGGAAGCATGAGGCAGGTGCTTTGGCCGCCATCTTCTTGGAGCCTGGCCCTGCCCTGCACCTGTGGAGTGCGACTCCAGCACAGGACTGCCAGGAAGACACGGGACGCCGGTTCAATCTGCCTCTCAGATGAAAACGGAATACTTCTTTAGGATAAGTGTGTCCCAAATATTGCATGGGACATACAAAAAAATAATCTAGTGTTTATCTGAAGTTCAAGCTTAATTGGACACCCTGTAGTTTCACTTTCCACATCTGGCCAGAGGTGATACCAGGACCTGAGCATCCCAGGAACACCACACCCTCCTGCAAGGATGTGGCACCACCCCAAGAGTTCTGAGCTCGTTGGGGCACTGCCTCTGTCTGGGGGTGCTGAAAACTCTGGGGTGGGGGCACCCCATCTTTGCTGCCAGGAGGAGGGAGTAGGATTTGATGTTACCGGGCCAAGCTGTAGGCACCAGGGCCTGCGGGGTTTGTGGGATACATCCCTGCTGCCATCAGCCCTGGGAAGGGAAACGGGAGGAAGGAAGCTGCTGTGGTTTCCAAGATGGGCTGGGGGAAGGGGTGCACAGAAGCCGGCCCAGCACTGCCGCTCAGCAGCTGGGGCAGGAAGGGGGCTGTGCTGGGAGTCTGGCCGGCGGGGATGGGGCTCACAGAGAGGAGAGGCCCTCAATGCCAGGTCGTCCTGTGTGCACACAACCAACTCTAGCCAGGTGGGGTCTACCCTTGAGACTGGGTCCCAAACCAGGCCCAGCTCAGCCCACTCTGATCATCCGACCAGGCCAGGCACGTGCCCTAGGCCCCCTCCGCACGCACCAATTCCTCCTCTCTCCCTAGGGGCAGTGCCCAGCCCTCTGGTGGTGGGAGGGGACATAGGCTTTTCTTCTGTCCCTCGTGCCTAGCACCATGCAGGGCACACTGCGGCCATGTGATCCCCATAAATGACCAGTGGCCCTGAGTCCTGCTGCTCCCCACCCTCCTGCACTCCAGGACCCCTCGGCCTCCTGCTGCCCCTACCCTCCACTCCAGTACCCCTCGGCCTCCTGCTGCCCCTACCCTCCACTCCAGGACCCCTCGGCCTCCTGCTGCCCCTACCCTCCACTCCAGGACCCCTCGACCTCCTGCTGCCCCTACCCTCCTCCACTCCAGGACTCGTCGGTCGCCTCTTGCAGATGCTCCTCCCTGCTAGACGGGATGGAGACTGGGTCCCCTTCAGACCCCTCCTGGGGTTTCTTCCCGCCCCAGGCATGAAACATGGCCCCACAACCCTCCAGCAGCCTGGGGACACTGCATCTCTAGGACACAGTCAGTTCCAGGGTCCCTGGTCCATAATAGGAGGCCCTTGTTGCTGGACAGTCTGGGTGGGTCAGGCTTTACCCCCTGCTGCCCCAGGAGGACAGTACGAGAATCCCCTAAAATCCAGTCTGGCAGACAGCCGTGCGCAGCACTCAGGCAGGGACCACCCACGCCAGGGCGTTCTAAAGAAGCCTGTGGGGTCAGGGCCCCACAAGTGTGGCCACCATCCGGCTCCCAATGGCCTGGGCGAGTCTGCCTTCCTCCTCCATGCCACTCTCACAAAGGGCCAGGCCCTGGGGGCTTCCTGGAGGAGGAGGCAGGGGGACACAAGATGAAATCAGTCAGGTGAGGAGACACCCAGGGCGATGAGGGCACAACTTCCCCAGCGGAGAATGTCAGCCCAGAAGGCAGCTGCTCCCAGAGCTGAGTCGGAATGCTTGGCTCTGCCACCAGCTGGGTGCCAGGCAGGTCCTGTCCCAGCAGCTGAGGCCTTGCCTCACCAGCACCAGGCGCCGACCCCACCACAGATGCAGGGCTGCCGGTCAACTGCAGAAGAGAAACCGAAAGCTTAAAAAAAAAAAAAAAAAAGAGAAACCGGGAGCTGTACCCAAGACCACCACCTGGACAGCCCCACTCCTGCTCCAACGGCCCTGCCAGGGAAGCAAGGCCCTAAGGTGGGGGTGGGCAGGGGACTGTGCCCAGCAGAGTGTGAGCTTCGGGCCCCAGTACCATGGCCCACACCCAAGGAAAGCCCTGAGGACTCCCCAGGCAGGCCGGTCTAGGGCCTCGGTGAGGGTTCGGGTGGGTGGAGGAGCTGGGGGCTCTATACCTCTTCCCCCTTCCCCTCACACTCCTGCCTCCCCTCCTCTGGGACCTAAGCTGGGCCTGGCAAACAATAAGGCCAGAGGGGGCTGGGCGTGGTGGCAAACGCCTGTAATCCCAGTACCTTAGGAGGCTGAGATGGGAGGATCGCTTAAGCTCAGGAGATTGAGGCTGCAGTGAGCTATGATTGTGCCACTGCACTCCAGCCTGGGTCTCAGAGCGAGGCTCTGTCTCCGAGAAAAAAATTATCCAGGTGTGGTAGCTCACGCCTGTAATCCCAGCGCTTTGGGAGGCCGAGGTAGGAGGACTGCTTGAGGCCAGGAGTCTAAGACCAGCCTGGGCAACATATCAAGATCCCATCTCTACAAAAAGTAAAAATAATTAGCTGGGCATGGTGGCATATGCCTGTGGTCCCAGCCACCTGGGAGGCTGAGGTGGGCAGACTGTGGGCCCAGGTGTTGGAGGCTGCAGTGAGCTGTGACCACAATGCTGCTGCACTCCAGCCTGGTGGGGCTCTCACCCCAAAGGGGTTGTTGGTGGTCCCCCGTAGCGGGGCTGCCAGAGCACCTTCTCCATGCACCCGACACAACCACCTGGGCTGTGGTTTCTCAGACCTTCTTCTGAGGAGCTGTACCTCCTGCCCTCCTATGGGAGTTTCAACTCAATTTCCATACTTTGGTTTAGAGAGGATGGCAGCCTACTTCCCCTGCCCAGGCCCCAGACTGAAGTTCTTCCGTGCCGAGGGGAAGGTGTGTTAGAATCACTGAGGGCCCGACGGGCACCTGCGGGCAGTACTGGAAACCATCTGGCAGCTGGGACCCCAAGTGTGCCCCTCACATGACAAGGCCCCAGGGAGGCCAGGGGCCCCCGACTTCCAGAATCCTGCAGGAGCAGGCAGCTCCTAGTTCTTCTGGGCCCATTACACCCGTGGGAGCACAGGGAGGGTCGTGGACAGTGCAGGAGAGGCAAGAAGGGTGGGGGCTGGGGGGTGGCCCCAGAGAGCCTGGCTGTCCTCACCCTGTTGCCCTCCTGAGCTGGCTCCATCTGCAGCCTGGGGGGAGGAGGTGGCGAGGCCGAGAGTTGCCGTGGTAACTCTGGCTTCCTCCAGGGCCTCTGAAAACATCGCTTATTTTGTTTTGAAACTGTGGTCCGGAGACCGTTTTGAGAGCTGTTCCAGGACAGAGTGGGGCAGGTGGATGGGGGAGCCTCATCCCCACAGAGACCTGGCGACAAACCCTGACTCAGCCACAGGAGCTGCGGGACCGCTGGAAGGGTCCCCGGGCTCCCTGTGCCTCAGTGTCCCCCTCTATGAAACAGAGCTGATCCTGGAACCGTGCCTGGCTCGGAAGCTGCTCCATAGGGGCTGATCCACCCCACGCCCTCCCTGGCTGGGCAGGGACCACCTCTCCTCTAGCCTGGGCACTGAGGGGATGACCCCATCTAATGGGCACAACGTCCTAACAGAAAGGTAGTGACAGCAAAGCTTAGCCTAAACCCCAAACCTGCTAATGGTGGGACTCCAGGCCACGTTGCAGCTCCTTGCTGGGCTCTGGGAAGGGGCTTCTTTTCAGACTCCAGGGCCGTGTGGGGAGGCTGCCCCCAGACAAGCCCCGGCCCCAGGCCTCTGCTGAGGGTTGCAGGGAAGGCTGGTCCAGGCCTGCAGGGCCTGGAGGAGCCTGGGTCAACACCAGGAAGGACCCGAGGGCCCATGTGACTTTTAATAGGGCAGAACAGCTGGGCCAGGAGGGGGTGGGTAGGACAGTGGGAAATGGGGGTGGTGACGCCAGCCTGCCCACCTCAATTGTCCCCGAGGCTACCAGAAACAGTCGGGAGCCACCCTGGGTGGAAAAATGGGGCAGGAAGGAGTGCCAGGCACTGGGCAGAGGCCTCACCTGGGCCTTAGTCTTCCCAGCCCTAGCATGGACCCACAGGGGGCCACGCCGAGCTCTCTGGCCTTCAGCAGGGACCCTGAGCTGGAGCTAGGTGACAATAGTGGTGGTGATGGTCACCCCCAGTTTCTGGATGAGGAAATGGAGGCGGAGGGGCTCCCCTAGGGCCACCTACGAGGGAGGGCAATGGCAGCTCCAAAGCCCCACGCCCCGTGGTGGGAAAGGCAGAGGTGCCCCTGCCCCATAACAGACCCCATGTGGCAGGACTAGAGTTCCCCAGAGCCAGGAACGCGGAAGCCACCTGCTCTCCGAAAGACACGGGGCAGGGCCTGGTAAAGGACCTCTGCCCTGAACGTATGCAGAGCTTTCCAAATTCAACAGCAAGCAAACCGACAACCCAAGCTTTACAAGATGGGCAAAAGATGGGAACACACCCTTCCGCATAGAAGATACACAGCAAATAAGCACACAAGAGATGCTCCACCTCGCTAGGGACCAGGAAACCCAGGTCAAGCTGCAGTCACGGCCTGAGCACACCCGGAGGATTGGTTGCCATGAAAACGACCAACCACAGCACGTGCTGCTGGGCGAGGCGACTGGGGCGCACGCAACGGGGGCTGTAAAACGGTCCAGCCACCTTGAATAACAGTTTGGCAGTTATGTAAAACTGCTGCTTAAGTGGTGAAACCCACATTCACATGACCCAGCTGCTCCATGCCCAGGTATTTATCCAAGAGAGATGAACTCAGGTTCACACAAGACTTGTACACAAATGTTCTAGCAACGTTTCTTGTAAATGCCCCAAACGGAAATAACCCACATG